ACTTAAAACTACTCGATTCAAGCAATTTTTACCTCCATATTTTATTGCAGTGCAGTGACTACTTTTGAATGTCCCCATCTCTTTTTTTTAGTTCCTGCACAAATGTTTATCCAGTTGGCTTTTATTATCTACCCTCTCTCTCTCTCATGCTGTGAATGTAAACTTTGTTTTTGGGTCACTGAGTTGTGTTTTGATAATGAGCTGTGGTGCAGTGGTCAGTGCAGTGACGGTGACTCTGACAGTGTGGCAGTGACCTCTGGTGGCGGCGTGAGGTACTGCGATCCACACTTACTCTCTTTGAGAAATTGGAGATTCATTCATTCTTTTCATTCTTTGCTGCATAATGCATCAAAGTGTGATGTGGGCGATGGTTTTAGGATTGAATGCTGTACATTGTGACGCAAGATCATTTGTTTTTGTGTCTAAGCTCAAGTTACAGAAGATTAGTATTAGGACTGTTTTTTTTTTTGGAGACTAGGGATGGAAAATAGTATGATGCTAAATCTGGTGTAGCCATCCTTTTAATGTAACTAATAATAATACATCGGTTTTACATAGTGCTTTTTTGGACACTCAAAGACGCTTCACATGTCATTATTCTCTCTCTCCAAACACGGTGGTGATAAACTACTGTAGCCACAGCTGCCCTGGGGCACACTGACAGAAGCGAGGCAACCAGTCTGCGCCATCAGCCCCTCCCACCACCACCAACCATTCACACACACACCAGACTCATTCTAATGTGGGGGAAGTGTCTTGCCTAAGGACACAACCACAGTTTGGCACTTTACAGCCGCAGCCGCCCCACTGTGGCACCTGCTGCTCCCAGAGGTTAAGTGTCTTGCCCAAGGACACAACGACAGCAGACAGGGAGTCGATGGTGAAAGTCTGAACCCACAGCCTTCAGGCCAATGCTCTACAACTGAGCCACTGTCCCTTAAATAAACAAACTTACTGCTCATACTGGTTGAATATTTGAATAGACTTAATTCACTAAAAAGAGCAATTTTAGACCCGGCAACATGATAGTGTCTCTAGCAGACTGTACTTATACACATGTTTATTACAGGATCAGCGACGCTTCAGTTGTGTGTTAGTGTTAGTGGTCCTTAGTCCTCGTTCTACAGTCTGAGTCCTCGTTCTACAGCCCGAGTCCTCGTTCTACAGCCCAAGTCCTCGTTCTACAGCCCGAGTCCTCGTTCTACAGCCCAAGTCCTCGTTCTACAGCCCGAGTCCTCGTTCTACAGTCTGAGTCCTCGTTCTACAGCCCAAGTCCTCGTTCACAGCCCGAGTCCTCGTTCTACAGCCCAAGTCCTCGTTCTACAGCCGAGTCCTCGTTCTACAGCCCGAGTCCTCGTTCTACAGCCCGAGTCCTCGTTCTACAGCCAAGTCCTCGTTCTACAGCCCGAGTCCTCGTTCTACAGCCCGAGTCCTCGTTCTACAGCCTGAGTCCTCGTTCTACAGCCCTGAGTCCTCGTTCTACAGCCCGAGTCCTCGTTCTACAGCCCGAGTCCTCGTTCTACAGCCCGAGTCCTCGTTCTACAGCCCGAGTCCTCGTTCTACAGCCCGAGTCCTCGTTCTACAGCCCGAGTCCTCGTTCTACAGCCCGAGTCCTCGTTCTACAGCCCGAGTCCTCGTTCTACAGCCCGAGTCCTCGTTCTACAGCCCGAGTCCTCGTTCTACAGCCCGAGTCCTCGTTCTACAGCCCGAGTCCTCGTTCTACAGCCCGAGTCCTCGTTCTACAGCCCGAGTCCTCGTTCTACAGCCCGAGTCCTCGTTCTACAGCCCGAGTCCTCGTTCTACAGCCCGAGTCCTCGTTCTACAGCCCGAGTCCTCGTTCTACAGCCCGAGTCCTCGTTCTACAGCCTGAGTCCTCGTTCTACAGCCTGAGTCCTCGTTCTACAGCCTGAGTCCTCGTTCTACAGCCTGAGTCCTCGTTCTACAGCCTGAGTCCTCGTTCTACAGCCTGAGTCCTCGTTCTACAGCCCGAGTCCTCGTTCTACAGTCGAGACTCAGGCTGTAGAGTCTGAGTCTACAGCCTGAGTTGGATAGCACTCTCGCCTCTCAGCAAGAAGGTCCTGGGTTCGAATCCCGGTCGGACCAGGGCCTTTCTGAGTGGAGTTTGCATGTTCTCCCCGTGTCTGCGTAGGTTTCCTCCGGGTACTCCGGTTTCCCCTACCACTAAAAATATGTACAATAGTTCTGGCATGCGCCTCCTGTACTGGCCCCTCCCATCTCTGTGTGGAGTGAGAGACTAATGCCCAAAATTAACAATTGTAAACCGCTTTGAGACTCAGATCTGCAGTGAAAAGGCGGTATATAAATAAAAACTTACTTACTTACAGTCTGAGTCCTCGTTCTACAGTCTGAGTCCTCGTTCTACAGTCCGAGTCCTCGTTCTACAGTCCGAGTCCTCGTTCTACAGTCCGAGTCCTCGTTCTACAGTCTGAGTCCTCGTTCTACAGTCCGAGTCCTCGTTCTACAGTCCGAGTCCTCGTTCTACAGTCCGAGTCCTCGTTCTACAGTCCGAGTCCTCGTTCTACAGCCCGAGTCCTCGTTCTACAGTCTGAGTCCTCGTTCTACAGTCCGAGTCCTCGTTCTACAGTCCGAGTCCTCGTTCTACAGTCCGAGTCCTCGTTCTACAGTCTGAGTCCTCGTTCTACAGTCCGAGTCCTCGTTCTACAGTCCGAGTCCTCGTTCTACAGTCCGAGTCCTCGTTCTACAGTCCGAGTCCTCGTTCTACAGCCTGAGTCCTCGTTCTACAGTCCGAGTCCTCGTTCTACAGTCCGAGTCCTCGTTCTACAGTCCGAGTCCTCGTTCTACAGCCCGAGTCCTCGTTCTACAGTCTGAGTCCTGTCTGTACCTGTCAATGTGGGCCTCTGCGAGATTTCTCAGTTGCTCCTTTTCCCATGTGTTTATTTTTTCAATGCATTCTTGTGTTTAAACTGTTTGATTCTCGGATCTGTGTTGTATAATAAGATTCAAATATGGATCTGAAAATGTATCGTAATGATTGGACATCGCTGTGCAGCTTTTGGCCTATATTCTCTGGAGTCTAGTGGCCGGATGGATTTGGCAGGTGTCTCATGACGGAACTCTTGACTGTGAAATCCTCCGCTGAAGGTTTGGCCTCCTCAGTCGTGGTTCAGCGCTGCCCATCTGTGCGTGAGCCGGTTCTGTGCAGTTGTAAAGCAGCTCGTCCATTGAGACCGCTTGTTCTTGGTTGAATCATGGCCCTGGGTTGTCTGTATACATCCCCAGGAACAGAATAAATACTTAGCTTTAGGGAAACCTTGAGTTCTTCTGCCCCGTGCACTTTCTCATGCACCGTCAAACATGAGTGGGTTTAACAGCGGCCTTTATACGCAGGCAGGATTTCAACACTGGGCTCGTGAAACTGAACCTTTCTCAAATTGGTCTAACGAGATTTTTTTTTTTTTCTCCTGAGGCACATTTGCTTTGCACATGTTGCTGAATTTTAAATATTTCATCGTCTTACGTGTTAGAATCAGTTTGAGGGATACGATTTTAGAATAGTCGAATTCTAAAATCGGGTGGCACGGTGGCTGAGTGGATAGCACTCTCGCCTCTCAGCAAGAAGGTCCTGGGTTTGAATCCCGGTCGGACCAGGGCCTTTCTGAGTGGAGTTTGCATGTTCTCCCCGTGTCTGCGTAGGTTTCCTCCGGGTACTCCGGTTTCCCCTACCACTAAAAATATGTCCAATAGTTCTGGCATGTGCCTCCTGTACTGGCCCCGCTCCCATCTCTGTGTGGAGTGAGAGACAAGTGCCCATAATTAGCAATTGTAAACCGCTTTGAGACTCTGATCTGCAGTGAAAAGGCGGTATATAAATAAAGATTACTACTATTACTATTCTAGTTGTGTTCTCGAATGTCTTTTCTAGCAATCTTCATAGAAAGGTTACAGGTAAAGGAGGATTTTTCCATATTTTAGGAAAGAACCACCCTCTCCACTTTGGACAAATCTCTCTGGTCTTATTGGACGAGCACGTGTCACCAGAATGATTGAAAATTGGGAAGACCTATAGTCTCTATGATCCACCCGGAAATGGAATATCCTTTAAGGGAGGTCGTTGATTCGTCGCCCAGTGGGGAATATTCAGTGTTGCATCACCGGTTACAAAACAGTGGGAATGAGGAGCACACAACACAAGATAAATGAAAAATAAGGCCATACTAAAATAAGCATTAAAAAAAACCTCCAACTTTAGCATAATGAAGAAGCAAGAGTTGAGTGTGAAATCTCTGAGACATACTTTAACTCATGAAGTACGTATAAAATCTCGAAACTTAGCATAACAAAAAGTAAGTATAAAATCTGCTGCATCGTTCCAAGCTCTGACAATCAGCAGGTCTGTGCGGAATTTAGTTTAATCAGTTCTGTCCACTTGTGTTTACGTGACCGCTCTGCTTGTTGTCGTGCAAGTCCTTCCACATTTTCATTGTGATTTGAACTTATCCACCGATAAGTCCGAGGCCTTCAGAGACGCCAGGATTATTTTCGAGTGCAAGAAATATAGTTGTGTGTTGACATCTGCACATGTTGAATACATTTCCTGCTTTACTACCAAACATGAATATTAAGAAAGTAACTGAATATTGACTTAAGAATATCGTAAGGAGCTTAGTAACATGGGAGGAGATGGTGCTGCTTCTGTTCCTGTCGTGTCCCGCTGAGTGGAGGCCTCAGGGAAGACCCAGATCACGCTGAAGGGACTATGTTTCTGAGCTGAGAAGGTCTTGGCCTGAGAAGGTCTTGGCTGGAGCTGGAGAAAGTGTGGATGGATGGGGGGTATTCTGCCTTTGCATCCTGGCTCCAGATAAAGTGGAAAGTGGAAGTCGTCGTGTCCTTGGGCAAGACACACGTTTCCTGAAAGACCAAGGCTGTTTCACCGCTGACTGAGCAGCCATCTTCCTGTGGACTCAGAAATGGACTAATAAAGGGGTTGAAAATGAATGAATGAATGAATTGAACTTGAGTCAGGTGCAGTCTCTTGACGTCCTAACTCCTCCTGAGACAGCGGTTGTTTTACTGGGAGCTGGCGATGAGGACGGGGGCAGAGGGGGAAGGGGAGAAGGCCCAGGTGTGTTTGTGCAGTAAAACATCAAGAACACCGAGCCTCCCAGCAGGATTCCACCGCTCTGTTTGAAGCTTACGTTAGCAGACTGTAACATCAGCCTCTCTGTGACGGCTTCGAATGGCTTCAGACCACATCTCGTCCCGTCTGGAACATCTGGGCCCCAGTCATCACAGACACGCTGACCACTCTTTAGTCTCTTATTCTGGGTGTGATTGATAAGATTAGGTAGACTTTGTGGATCTCGCATTGGAGAAATTTGTTGAGGTTTATAGATAGATACTTTATGGATCCCCGTCGGAGAAATTCAGGTGACCAGTAGCCGCAAAAATAGAAAATAAAATTGATAATTCTAAAAAGTTAAAAATAGTAATCAGCAACAGCCTCAGGTCACAGCAGCAGAGGTGGAGTAGCCTCTGGGTGGAGCAGGACGGGTCACAGCAGCAGAGGTGGAGTAGCCTCTGGGTGGAGCAGGACGGGTCACAGCAGCAGAGGTGGAGTAGCCTCTGGGTGGAGCAGGACGGGTCACAGCAGCAGAGGTGGAGTAGCCTCTGGGTGGAGCAGGACGGGTCACAGCAGCAGAGGTGGAGTAGCCTCTGGGTGGAGCAGGACGGGTCACAGCAGCAGAGGTGGAGTAGCCTCTGGGTGGAGCAGGACGGGTCACAGCAGCAGAGGTGGAGTAGCCTCTGGGTGGAGCAGGACGGGTCACAGCAGGAGAGGTGGAGTAGCCTCTGGGTGGAGCAGGACGGGTCACAGCAGCAGAGGTGGAGTAGCCTCTGGGTGGAGCAGGACTGGTCACAGCAGCAGAGGTGGAGTAGCCTCTGGGTGGAGCAGGACGGGTCACAGCAGCAGAGGTGGAGTAGCCTCTGGGTGGAGCAGGACGGGTCACAGCAGCAGAGGTGGAGTAGCCTCTGGGTGGAGCAGGACGGGTCACAGCAGGAGAGGTGGAGTAGCCTCTGGGTGGAGCAGGACGGGTCACAGTAGCAGAGGTGGAGTAGCCTCTGGGTGGAGCAGGACGGGTCACAGCAGCAGAGGTGGAGTAGCCTCTGGGTGGAGCAGGACGGGTCACAGCAGCAGAGGTGGAGTAGCCTCTGGGTGAAGCAGGACAGGTCACAGCAGCAGAGGTGGAGTAGCCTCTGGGTGGAGCAGGACGGGTCACAGCAGCAGAGGTGGAGTAGCCTCTGGGTGGAGCAGGACGGGTCACAGCAGCAGAGGTGGAGTAGCCTCTGGGTGGAGCAGGACGGGTCACAGTAGCAGAGGTGGAGTAGCCTCTGGGTGGAGCAGGACGGGTCACAGCAGGAGAGGTGGAGTAGCCTCTGGGTGGAGCAGGACTGGTCACAGCAGCAGAGGTGGAGTAGTCTCTGGGTGGAGCAGGACGGGTCACAGCAGCAGAGGTGGAGTAGCCTCTGGGTGGAGCAGGACAGGTCACTGCAGCAGAGGTGGAGTAGCCTCTGGGTGGAGCAGGACGGGTCACAGCAGCAGAGGTGGAGTAGCCTCTGGGTGGAGCAGGACAGGTCTCAGCAGCAGAGGTGGAGTAGCCTCTGGGTGGAGCAGGACGGGTCACAGCAGCAGAGGTGGAGTAGCCTCTGGGTGGAGCAGGACGGGTCACAGCAGCAGAGGTGGAGCCGCTTGGTACAGAGCATTTTCTTTGCTCTAGTCCAAAGTAAAATGCCTAATATTTGCATTTTTCAAAAAGTTAGCATTCCTCCAGTGGATTTTCATCTGATCCACTTGGTTCGGACCATGAATCCTCTCTGGTCTGGTCTGGACCAGTGCAAAACCATGAATACTGTTTTGCAGCAAGAAAAATTAAAATTGTAAAGCACAAACCACAAATGTTTGAGAGCTGCTTAGGACCTTGCTTCTTAAAGTATCTATCTATTTGGGCGACAGTAGCTCAGTTGTAGAGCATTGGCCTTTGAGCCAATGCGGGTTCGAGTCTGACCTTCACCATCGACTCCCACTGACTACTGTCGTTGTGTCCTTGGGCAAGACACTTAACCTCTGGGAACACCAGCCACAGTGGGGCGGCTGCGGCTGTAAAGTGCCAAACTGCTGTTGTGTCCTTAGGCAAGACACTTCCCCCACATTAGAATGAGTCTGGTGTGTGTGTGAATGGTTGGTGGTGGGAGGGGCTGATGGCGCAGACTGGTTGTCTCGCTTCTGTCAGTGTGCCCCAGGGCAGCTGTGGCTACAGTAGTTTATCACCACCGTGTTTGGAGAGAGAGGATAATGACACATGTGAAGCTTCTTTGAGAGTCCTAAAAAGCTCTGTATAAAACGTATGCATTATTATTATTAAACGTCCCAAGTTCATACAGCAGAAAATGCATTTGTTCAGATAAAATTAAACTCTAGCAAACTTATCTTTTTTTACTCATTAAGGGCTTTTTAAACTTTTGTATTAAAACAGCATCAAAGTCCGAGTCTGGTTCTGAGCTCGTGTGTAAAGAATGCTCCTGTGTCGCTCCGTCAGCCTTTTCCTGAACTCACATTTTTCCGTTCACCGCGCTGCATCTTTGATATCTTTGTGGCGGCGTCTCGGCGATGATGTAATCACGGTCACAACGCTGCATTCTGAGGCGTCCCTAATGTGTTCCAGAACGGTCACAGAGGACCACCTCCGTCTGCACAAACCGCTCGGCATGGCTCTGCTCTCATCAAACCCCTGCAGGCTTCATCCTTATGGTGCTGTGTGGAAGAGTGTGGGGGGATTTTGGGGTCTGTGGTAATACCATTGGTTCGATAAAGAGTGAATCAAATGCATAATTACGAAACTAAAGCTACATTTGGCATTGGACAAATATCTAATTACACTTTCATTAGTCATCCCTCTGTCGTCTGGAGCAGGTAACGGATCCTTGCAGTCAATAGTTCTGTCTGCTGGGGGTTTATTTCTGTTATGAAGGGCAAAATAAATTACACAATAAAATCAGATCATGTTTTACACCAAAGTGAGATCATAAATTCACTCACTTTCAACTAAAGCCTGTTTTGTTCAGTTCTTTACAGTTCTTGGGGTCGACAGAGTACTGCTGCTTGAACGATTCAGAAAAGGGCTCTGAAATAGTAAAATTGTTTAGAATGTTAAATCAGAATCACTTTCATTGTTCAGATTTTATTTTTATGTATGCCATGTTTTATTTTTGTTCTTTTACTGGTTTGCGCCGAGAGCCAAAGCCATTTTGTTGTGACTTCGTGAATTCTGCTAAATACGACTTTTTAGGACTCTCTGGATTGTAACTCATCCATGGGCAGCACTGCGTCTTAAAATCCCACAGCACCTGCGTTTGAGGAAAATAAGTTCCTCAGACATACTTCAGGAATAAAACATCACAATGACTGAATTAATTTCTCGTTCAGTAATTTATGGAAGAAACAAAACTCTTTTGGGGGTTCAACGTTTATCGTCTGTATATTGTTTTTTACAGCTACATATAACTGAATCCTACTGTTTATTCTCTCACTGTAGGCCTTTTAATGAAATGAATTCTACTAGCTACTCTCTTGGGATTTTACTACGTTGCAAAGTTTGAGTAGTGTCGAGAAATGAAGACCGAGGCAGCAGCGAACGCACCTGTAACACGCCCCTTCAGATTATTAGTCCCTTCAGATTGAACCAAAGGAGACAAAACGTTTATATGATTTGTGTCAATGTGCATAAGAACAGACATCACTTGAGATATAGATACTGTGGTAACAATGTGGGTCAAAACAAATACGTTCAGTTCTTTAGATGTTTTAGCAGCAATACAGGTATAACAGAAGTCCATAGTGCTAAACATGGAGGTCAGATTCCACAGCAGCATAACAGTAGTTGAAACACTGCGTTGTTTTTCTGAAGCAATACTTAAAATGTGTTATCTCCAACTCCTTTCACATACACACCCAGTGCTTTCTACAGATTGGTAAAATGCACTGGTATTGAAACTCTTCTGAAACTTACGATGTGGGTTGGCGTCCCGTCGAGCAGAGTGGCGTGCAGAAGCCCAGAGCGGGTTAGCCCCTCTCTGCAGCGGCTCGTTATTCACAGAGGCGGGATCAATAGTTGTGTTGACCGTGTCGCCGCCGCCTGCTGTTTAACGCCCGTCTGAGTCTGTGTATCTGAGTTTTGTTGACCACGACCTCCTGACGTGGGCTTTGATCCGCCACGCTCCCAAACTCGATATGATGGAGATGGCCTTTACTGTTTGTAGTTATGTAGTTTTTCTTTAGGGCTATACAATAATACGTTCATTGCAATGTATTCTTGTACAGCCCTAAATCACAACAGTAGTAATCTCGGCGGACTTTAACATATATGCAATGACAAAAACACATTGGTCATGTCCATAAATGTTGTAGCATCTGTCTGTAACATTACAAAAGCAATATTTGATAAGGATTAATTTTGCACTACGTGACATTTGCCAAGCCGAGCCAATTAGCAACAAAAAAATTGTAAATAAAAACATTTTGAGTCGGAAAATGGTGCATTGTTCCCTCCTTTGAGACGTGTGCAAATACACAGAAAAGGTACTAGTGGTTTTCTGCAACTATAAGCACATTTAAAATCTTTTATTCTGGCAATGTTAGATTTTTTAACTAGTTTCAAGAGTTATTTACTAATTTTAAGACTTTGACTTTGCCGTATAGTCTTGTTTCAAGCATTAACACAATATTTGTAGGAGTTAGAATACGTTTTAATTAACTTCTGGATCGTAAATCGAACCCCCAAAGCTACAAAAAGACTCAAAAGGATCGCTCTACAATACTTCACAGCAATATTTTCCATTCACTCCACACACAGTGATGACAGAAGCGAGACGCCGAACACTTTAGCTCACTCGTTTCATTCAGAACTAGTGGTAGGGGAAATTGGAGCGCCCGGAGGAAACCTTACCCAGACACAGGAAGAACATGCAAACTCCACAAGCACTAACCACTGTGCCGCCGTTAAAGTATTGACCTGCACTAATGTGTGCCGGCCCCTCTCCACCAGGCAGCAGGTCTCTCATGGGTTAAGCTCCATTTCAACTCGAGGACTAATTAGTTTAGCCGTAAATACTGGAGATAATGTCAGAATAACCCCATTATGCTCTTTGCTAACCCGTCGAGATGAACAGTGACTGCTCTGAAGTATCTGGTCCACAGACGGGAAACTTGAATCGAATCATTAATTTCAGGGTTTGTGACCGTTCTTCCACAAACAGCCGGAGGACAAAGTCATGACTACGGCGTCACACCTGTTTGATCCAAGGCTTTCTTTTTTTGTTTTGTGTACCCCCCACCGCTGCTCCGTCTGTTAATGAAGTTCCTCACGGATGAATAAAGTTATTTGAATTTGAAAATAATAATAATAATAATATAGGACAGTCTTAATGTACACAATGTAACAGTCCTTTGTTCTAGATACGCACCTGATTATACACTTTTTTTTTGCTGTTTTTTGACCCAGAAGTATTCCCAATTTTTGTAGTTTTAACAAACATTATATTTAATTTAGTTTTCAGAACAAGCCGTTTTAAGCTGTGAAGGTTTTTACTTTTATTCTCTGCTCTTGGTGTAAATGACATGGGTTAGGGTTCGTGTTATTCATCAGATTATTAATAAATTTGAACTGTTTTCAATGAAGCTAAAACCTGTTGTAAGAGACACAGGGATAGACACGGGGAGAGACACAGGGATAGACACGGGGAGAGACACAGACACAGACACGGGGACGGACACGGGGAGAGACACGGGGACGGACGCGGGGACGGACACAGATGCAGGGACAGACGCAGGGACAGACGCAGGGACAGACTCATGGACAGACACAGACGCGGGGACAGACGCGGGGACAGACGCGGGGACAGACGCAGACACAGACGCGGGGACGGACACGGGGAGAGACACGGGGACGGACGCGGGGACGGACACAGATGCAGGGACAGACGCAGGGACAGACGCAGGGACAGACTCATGGACAGACACAGACGCGGGGACAGACGCGGGGACAGACGCAGACACAGACGCGGGGACAGACGCGGGGACAGACGCGGGGACAGACGCGGGGACGGACACATACACAGGGACAGACGGACGGACGCGGGGACAGACGCAGACGCAGACACAGACGCGGGGACAGACACAGACGCAGGGACAGACACATGGACAGACAGACTCAGGGACAGACGGACGGACGCGGGGACAGATACAGACGCAGGGACAGACACATGGACAGACACAGACTCAGGGACAGACGCAGACACAGACGCGGGGACAGATACAGACGCAGGGACAGACACATGGACAGACACAGACTCAGGGACAGACACATGGACAGACACAGACTCAGGGACAGACGCAGACACAGACTCAGGGACAGACGCAGACACAGACTCAGGGACAGACGCAGACACAGACTCAGGGACAGACGCAGACACAGACTCAGGGACAGACGGACGGACGTGGGGACGGACGCGGGGACGGGGACAGACGCAGACACAGACGCGGGGACGGGGACAGACACAGACGCGGGGACAGACGCGGGGACAGACACAGACTCAGGGACAGACGCAGACACAGACTCGGGGACAGACGCGGGGACAGACACAGGGACAGATGCAGGGACAGACGGACGGACGTGGGGACGGACGCGGGGACGGGGACAGACGCAGACACAGACGCGGGGACAGACACAGACGCGGGGACAGACGCGGGGACAGACGCGGGGACAGACGCAGGGACAGATGCAGGGACAGACGGACGGACGTGGGGACGGACGCGGGGACGGGGACAGACGCAGACACAGACTCAGGGACAGACGCGGGGACAGACACAGGGACAGATGCAGGGACAGACGGACGGACGTGGGGACGGACGCGGGGACGGGGACAGACGCAGACACAGACGCGGGGACAGACACAGACGCGGGGACAGACGCAGACGCGGGGACAGACGCAGACACAGACTCAGGGACAGACGCAGACACAGACTCAGGGACAGACGCGGGGACAGATGCAGGGACAGACGGACGGACGTGGGGACGGACGCGGGGACGGGGACAGACGCAGACACAGACTCAGGGACAGACGCGGGGACAGACACAGGGACAGATGCAGGGACAGACGGACGGACGTGGGGACGGACGCGGGGACGGGGACAGACGCAGACACAGACGCGGGGACAGACACAGACGCGGGGACAGACGCAGACGCGGGGACAGACGCAGGGACAGACGCAGGGACAGACGCAGGGACAGACGCAGGGACAGACGCAGGGACAGACGCAGGGACAGACGCAGGGACGTTGTTTGCACAGTGCATTTCAATATCCTCTGCTTCTCCTTTCCCTGTGGACGCAACATGAAACTATGAAGAATGTGAACCTTTGACAACCATATGACATGCTCCGTGCCTCGGTGACAGACATCGATCAGTTAATGGTGCGTGTTGGAGAAACGAGATGAAGACACGACGGCGTTCTGTTCTCCTGTGTGTCCTTGAGATCCTAACCACACCGTCCATATCCGTGTCGTCAGATCTGTCTTTTAAACGTGTTCATGTCTGACGTTGTTGTGAAGTCCTGAAGCTTTATGTCGTCGTGAACGCATTTTATTTGCTTGGAAATGGCACCCTCTAGTCTTCAATTATAACATGTGTTTTCAAGTCTGTGGATAAGATCGAGGGAAGCAAATACTTAAGATTAAGATAGAGATCCTTTATTTGTCCCACAGTGGGGAAATTTCAGTGTTGTATCACCAGTTATTCGGATAGTAGGAAGGAGGAGGACAGAGGAGCACACAGATATAAGTGAAGAAGAAATTTATTCTAAAATTAAATACAATTATCTACCTTAAGCATAATAAAGAAGCAAGCAGAAAAACACCAATTTGGCATAAGAAATAAGGAGGTACGATCTCTAAATTTAGCATATTAAGTCTAAAATCTGGCTTTTTATAGCATATGAGTGCTGTACTATTTGCTGTTATGTATCGACACTAGCTGAAATCTCCAGTCTTTCTGCAAAACCAATTTAAAGTGTGCTACAGTATGTTACAGGAGAGAATTACAATAACATTGAAAAGACTGAGATATTCACACAATTAGCAACATAGTCCCAGATGTTTTTAAATGCACAGAATTATTAAAAGCCTTAATCAGCAAGAAGTAATAAGCAGAAAGAACCACTCATTGGATAAAGAAGAGTTATTCAGCCATCTTCCTCTCAAATCAATCATATTATTACCAAAACTGCAGCAATATTCTTACCATTGCAGAGAAAATATACTTTTAACACTTATGGGTATCCAAAATGTATTGCTCCAGCTGTTATTTATCGAATGGCGAGTCAATACAGTATTTATTTTGACAGGCCTATTGTCTTTTAGTCTGGTGTGTAATAGAAAAAGCCTATTTCACATTCACACAGCTCTAGTCCCAAAATCCAGCAGTCATCGACACCACCTGAAAGAGCCACTGGTGTTCTGCTGATGATATATTTTCTGGTTGAGAAATTGCTTGGAGAACAAACAACGTCTGGTTTGAGTTGTGTTGAGGTTTGTGTGTGTGCGTGCGTGTTGCTTCTGCACCAGTAGAGGGCAGTGTGATGCAGGGCTGCGTTGGCTTCTGACAGACTGATGCCGTGTTCTTATGCGTCTGCTGCAAGAGGACTCCACGCTGCAATCTCTTCAGTCACTTTTCAACACTATCTTTTAGTCTTTTATACGCACCGTCCTTTGCATTCCGGCTCATGGAGACTCCGACCTGCCTGTGTCGTCTGCATAAGCTCCCTTCTGATGTATTGCACACAGTGGGAGACGCCAGTTCAGAGGGAATAGCTAATGTCTCTCTTGCCCCCATTGACGCATGTCAGTCTATTTCAGGCGCACACTGTCAAACATGGCCAGGAGAGCTGTGCGCCGCTGTGGTCTGGCATCTACGCCGGCTTGGACACTTGTCAGTGGGCGAAACTGATGATCTCTGCATCGGGGGCATATTTTCAAGCCCCTATGTACAAGGCAGACATCACTTTCAATCAGCCCTGCTCCATGTAGGACCTGAGGGCTTGTGTTTGCCAACTGCAGGACTTGGCTTTGGCGCTTGTTCCAGGTCAATACTGAACATGGAATGAGAAGGTTCAATTTTACACATCTATATATTTAGCAATCGTACTGGACATTGCAATGGACTTTCAGAGAATTATATTATAAAACCTTTTTGAGAAAACCAGAGGCCTGCAGGGTAATTGGGCAATCAAGGTCGTAATGATTCATGATTTGAAGCCATTGTTTGTTTTTAAATATTTGAATGACCTCTTTTTAGACATTTGTATCGTTTAACAAGGGCCGGGATACGATTATAAAAATGAATCTAATTAATCAGAGACTTTGTAAGGAATAAATAACATTTTAATATTTGACCTGAGAACAGTGAAAAGTATTTTTTTTTCCACATGGATTTTTAGTTTACTGCATATTCTTTATAGTGTTCAACCAAGTCCAACAGACCAGTGCAACTTTGATTTATGTTAATGTTTGCTAATGTCTGTGTAACTAATACTGACACATTTACAGTCATTTTGAGTAATGTGTACTGTCCCCATTCAATTAAATTCACAAATACATTACTCTACATTAATATTTGGTACTAGATATACAGATGTGAAACTATTCATTTGGGAGTATTTCATTTTTTCTTCCGCTTTTCCTGGGCTGGGTCGCATCAACAGCCGCTTGACCGAGAGAATCACGTACTCTCCCAAGACACATTCCTGCTGTGATAGTTACTCTGGTGTGTCCTGGGGTCGCCGAAATAGCAGCCGGACACTTCACCACCAAGGAATCCATGAAGCTGCCTCCTCTCGATGTGGAGGAGCAGCAACTCTACTCCAAGCCCCTCCAATGTGACTCCGCTCCCAATTTGATCTCTTTGCACGCATAGCCACTGAGCTCATTGCGACAATTCGTATTTGCAATCTAGGCTTTTGGTCGCCTTTACCCAACACTTATGACCATGGGGGACGGTGAGAACGTAGATTGAACTTGTAACTCTGAAGAAGATGACAAAGTCTGGGATCGTGTCTTTAATCAGACCGAAGACATGTTTCATTGTCATTGGTAGAGACAGCACGAACATGAACAAAAGTTGTTACAGACTGCAAGTGATGATATACAGCGGAGGAATGGAGTCCTCCAATCAGCGTTTGCCACGGTGTGAGTAGCTTCAACCTTGAGATAAACAAAACAATGGAAAAGTACTGGCTTGTGCATCTGTTAGAATGATGATGATGAGTTTGAATCAACTGTGGTTAAACTTCTAAGTGTCATGAAATACCTAAAACTCTCATTTTAACCTCATTTAATACTCAGCTCATCAGTCTCTCTGTTCTTCTCACTCATGGACCAAATACCAAGATACTTAACTCCTCCACTTGGGAGCACCATTAGTCTAACGAATACTTAGAGCTTAAAATATAGTCAGTCTGTTGCAAACTGTTGTAAAGACTAGTGTAACTTTTAAAGACATGTTTTTTTTGTCTTTTAATCCTGTTTCTCTTGAGGCCTTTTGGGAGAACCAATCAGCCACCCCTGCTCTGGCGTTCACCTCCTCCTGCTGCTGATACCACTTGCATTGGGATACAGAGAAATCCAACCTCTTCCTCCAAGCGCACTATCCCCTGCCTCTCTATCTACCCATAACAAGAGTCATCCTTCAACCGTCCCATGCCTTATTGATCCCTGAGAGTCCGTCCACTCCCCCTCCTCTGAAACCATCCCACCCCTGACCCCCTCCTCTCCAACCCCCTGCCACACACTGCACATGGTGAATGGTGTAATTAGAGGTGTGCTGGAAGGTCTAAGAGCAACAAGCTGTGGAGGAGGGAAGAGGCCGGACACAAAATGATATATCGGAGGATGATATAGTGTCACAATAGCATTTTGTTATCTGTGGCTCATGGTTTATTTAAAGGTGTGCTACCTTTCTGCTGGAGTAAGAATAATGTCATGCAATTATTACAGTGGACAGGTTTGTGGAAGCCTCTCAAAGCACCCTGCAGCCGGTATTCCTTCATTCAAAGCTTGTATACCTACAGCTGCCCTGGGGCTAACTGAAGCAAGGCTGCCAATCTATGCCATCAGCTCCTCTGAACGTGTCTGATCTTTCATACACTAATACAGCAGTGTCGATGGATATGTTCTCGCAATTCTTGAAATGTTCCATAAGAATGACTTTCTTAAGGAAGATACCGCATCATATCATTGCTGTGGTATTCATCTGATTTGGAGTTTGCTTATAATGGACCAGAACCAGAACCAGAGCCATTAAAATACAAGCAACTATTTTCTACAGTAAAAACAATTGTTGTTTGAAGCAAGCAAACAAACTGAAATACAGACTCATCATTGTCTTGAAGTCTCACAAATACCTCTCGTACTAATGTTGCTTAAATGCATGTCTTTCTTCATTTACCAGTTGATTTTTCAAACCAGCTTCTCATGGAATTCTTCCCCATGTGTGTATTGTGTGTATTATGTGTATTGTGAAAATTCTAAAAGGCCAATTTGATGACAATACGGTATTTTCCAAAATCGTTCGGCCAGTATTTTGATTGGAAACAAAGAATAAAAGATGTTGACAAACTCTGAAACTCTTTATGACTTGTCTTTGCGTGTGTCTTCCCAATCGTAAACTTATACAAAGAGACACCATGATGGGGCTGTGAGCGGTGTGCGGTCAGGGCAGGATTCGGCTCCATGCACGACCTCAAATTTATTTATTGAATGGTTTTTTTTTATCCCGGACGAGCCCCCATTCTGTCATAACCCGGCTCAGTAGAAATGACAGAAACACACCAAACAGTTGCTAATTGAAATCTTTTTTTAATAACCAAAGTTCATATTTGAAAGAGGCGTGGAAGTCTTTAGTGAGTGTGTGCGGGTGCATGTGCCGTGAAAGTATGTCTGCAGTGTTGAACCAAGAAAAACCAAGCAACCAAATCAGAGCAAACCATACAAAAAAGGAGGCGGGACTCGCAGGTGTCGGGACGGGAGCAGGACGAGCCAACCCGAACCTCTGGCACAAGCTTTGCTGCGTGTGTGACGCTCGTGCACCAATGAGCTCCACCAGAGGAGAGGCCGAAACAGCACCAGTATCGTTCATAGGCCCCTGTTTCACACGACAATATTTTAGCCATGGCTGATTGTCAATGTTCATCCATAGTTTACAATTACATAGTGACAATGTAATGTGGTTTCATTCATTCATTCATTCATTTTCAAGCCCTTTATTGTCCATTTCTGGGTCAGGGGGGGGGGCAATGAGAGCTGCCCCCAAGTCTCATAGCACCAGTCCCTCTGATCCTCTGCAGGGGGTGAGTCCACAGGAAGATGGCTGCTCTGTCAGCAGTGAAACAGCCTTGGTCTTTCAGCGGGGGCTTCAGGCAACGTGGGGTTAAGCGTCTTGCCCAAGGACACAACGACAGTAGACATCAGTGGGAGCAGTTGGAGTAGGTCCCATAGTGGGAATCGAACTCACGACCTCCAGGCTCAAAGGCCACTGCTCTACCAACTGAGCTACTGTCGCACCGTAATGTGGTTTCACTTCTAGAATTTGGATGGTTTTGTCCTTAATCTTTTGTAGAGGTTTTACAGTGGTGAGTTCGGCCTGTGACCTACAAAGAGCTACAACGGTAACTTGAATGTAAAAAGTTTATGTATAACTCTCTGAAGGTTAAGATGAAAGTGTGAAAAAGCTTGGCCTTCATCAGAGGTGACAGGGGATCTTGTGACTGGTCATCTGTGGGAATAGAAGAACACAAAAGATGGAGACGAGAGGCAAGCGGGACGCAGTGACCATCAACAGAGACTAGGGGGCTTTCACCTTGTTTCACATTTGGGACTCACTTCTCCAGAGACCACAGCGCGACGGGGGGCGGGGCTTCCAGAGACCACAGCGCGACGGGGGGTGTGGCTTCCAGAGACCACAGCGCGACAGGGGTGTGGCTTCCAGAGACCACAGCGCGACGGGGGGCGTGGCTTCCAGAGACCACAGCGCGACGGGGGGCGTGGCTTCCAGAGACCACAGCGCGACGGGGGGCGTGGCTTCCAGAGACCACAGCGCGACGGGGGGCGTGGCTTCCAGAGACCACAGCGCGACGGGGGGCGTGGCTTCCAGAGACCACAGCGCGACGGGGGCGTGGCTTCCAGAGACCACAGCGCGACGGGGGGCGTGGCTTCCAGAGACCACAGCGCGACGGGGGCGTGGCTTCCAGAGACCACAGCGCGACGGGGGGCGTGGCTTCCAAAGACCACAGCGCGACAGGGGCGTGGCTTCCAGAGACCACGGCGCGACGGGGGGCGTGGCTTCCAGAGACCACGGCGCGACGGGGGGCGTGGCTTCCAGAGACCACAGCGAGACGGGGGCGTGGCTTCCAGAGACCACAGCGCGACGGGGGGCGGGGCTTCCAGAGACCACAGCGCGACGGGGGGCGGGGCTTCCAGAGACCACAGCGCGACGGGGGGTGTGGCTTCCAGAGACCACAGCGCGACAGGGGCGTGGCTTCCAGAGACCACAGCGCGACAGGGGCGTGGCTTCCAGAGACCACAGCGCGACAGGGGCGTGGCTTCCAGAGACCACAGCGCGACGGGGGGCGTGGCTTCCAGAGACCACAGCGCGACGGGGGGCGTGGCTTCCAGAGACCACAGCGCGACAGGGGCGTGGCTTCCAGAGACCACCGCGCGACGGGGGGCGGGGCTTCCAGAGACCACAGCGCGACAGGGGCGTGGCTTCCAGAGACCACAGCGCGACAGGGGCGTGGCTTCCAGAGACCACAGCGCGACAGGGGCGTGGCTTCCAGAGACCACAGCGCGACAGGGGCGTGGCTTCCAGAGACCACAGCGCGACGGGGGGCGTGGCCAGTCTGACAGCTCAGACACATCTGTCCGACACATTCGGTAACAACCGCTGATTAAAGAGACGTGACTCCTCTGAGGAATCTGGAACTCTACGACCCAAACATGTGGTAATTAAGCAGGACTAGCTTTGGACTAGCACTTTGGTCTTATTAAAAGAACCTTCTAACCCGTAAAAAGTAGCTTAAAGATACTGTATATTGGAGGGATTTTCTACTTCCACGTAGGATCATCAAGACTATGGGTCCTCCCAACTGTCAATCATCCTGGTGATAAGCTCGTCAAATAAGACCAGAGAGTTTTGTTCAAAAAGTGGAGATGGCGGTTCTTTCCTAAACTTTGGGGAAAATATTCCTAAACACCTTTTTAAGTAAGTATGCAAAAACAATGCATGCATACAATTATGAGCAGGGTGGAACGGCAGATAGTCCCTGATGACTCTGGTCCACGTACACGGCTGTATATCCAAGGGTGGCGAGTAACAGAATCCCCAGATGCCCTGTGTGCTCGGCCAGGGGCAGGAGAGGGAGCAGTAAATTTAGCCAGTAATTTTGGCAAGCGACTGCGGGTTTGGGCTGGAGTCACACAGGCCAGCGCTGCGACCACAATGAATCAGCTCCTATCCATACTCAGGCCTAATGAGCGACACTTCTCCTGTTGCAGTTTGATAGCAGTGGGAGAAAGGGGGAGGAGGGAACGGAGGGGGTGCATTAGATAAAGTCAGACCCACTTTTATTTCCAGGCTGCTTCGGATAGCATCTGTCTGCTCGGATAGATATTGTGTTTCAAAAGCAATAGTGCCTGTCATGAACTGATGTCGATGGGATTCAGGAGATTTTTCATCATCGCTGTCCAGATGTTTGTCATTCAGCCAGTTGCACTTGAATAGCAGAGCACTCCACTTCACGTCTAGGTATTGGACATGCCTTTGGTTGTGTCCTTTTAAGTCTGCCTTAAAGGACACAACAGCGGCATGTGTGCCAGGAAGCCTTTTGAACAATTACACTATCACCTTCATCTACGTTTGTATAAAATGTAACTTCAGCGCTGTTAAATAAAGACCTTTATTTAAACAGGAAAGTCCCCTTGAGATTAAGAACCTCTTTTTCAAGGGAGTCCTGGACAAAAGTTAGTCACAAACGATTACAGATTATGAAAACAGTTACATGTCAATGAGGACGTCCCAAGTGCTCTCAAACTGGATTTCAAAGCATTCAATGAAAGATGAATAAAGTTCAGATCATTTCTAGTCTTTTTGTAACACGTTCCATGTAAAAGAAGCAGAATATGCAAAAGCCTTTTTTTCCCCAGTTCTGTGCAGGTAAAGAGAACAGAGAGCAACAAAACATAATTTGACCCCAAACCGTAAGAACCAACATCTCTAACATTAAGATTAAGAGATTCTTTTCTCGTCCCACAGTGGGGAAATGTCAGTGTTGCATCACCGGAATAAAATGATAATATCTTAAGCTTTAGCATAATACGGAAGCAAATCAAAAATATGTAACTTTGGCAAAATGAAGAAGTAAGAATAAAATCTCTAACTTTAGCATACAAAGAAGCAGAAACACGGTGTATTCGAGTGCAATATATATTTAGTTGTTTACTTCTGTACATTAGCAGCCTGAAGGTCTGCACAAAGTGACTCCGTAAAGTGACAGTCGACACATGGGGTTCTAGACCCCACATTGTTTCACACCAAATCTTGTTGTGAAAGTTGATTTTTGAATAAAACGTTCGTCTTCGCAGCGTGATTTCCTCGTGTTGGACGAGGTCTGAGAGAAGCACACGTTACATTCACCTGATGTCATGCTCTGCTCCGTCCTGACCTTCATGATGTTATTACTGGCTTCATAAACTGCTCCTTTATGGCTCTGTGACACTTTTATAAGCTTGATCTCACTGTTCATTAGTCCAGTGTGCTACTAGTTGTGTGCATGTGTGTGTGTGTGTGTTTTATTTATACGCGTAATGACATCACTTATTTATTATTGAATAGTTGACGATTATGCTTGGACAGATCACTGACACCCATTAAAACTGTGGCTCACAAGATCAATAGACATTTTTAAAGCAATTTTGGGTCCACCAGAAAATTAAGCACCCATTCTCACAGAGTCAAAGTTAAGGTTGTTTCATTTGATAACAATCAATCAATCAACAAAATATATATTTTACTTGTGTACATACACACAAACACACAGGATATAAAATAAACAGAAATATATGGTTTGAATGGGATGGATTAAGGAGATGCTTATTTGGCTCTTGCTCCTTTCACTCATTCAATACAACCACAAAACACACACACACACAGGCGTTAGCATAATGTTAAGATAATAATTCCGTTTTATTGTCCTGCGTTTTACACAACTTCTATCATTCTTCAAAAAAACACATTTTGTTTCCAAATGAAAAAGTCCTTGATTCTCGGTAAACACACGCTCTTGGTCTAATAAGTTGCAAGTGTTCCTATTAGCGCTCAGTCAGGTGTGTGTGTGTGTGTGTGTGTGTGTGCGGCTGTAGGTTGTGTTGCTAATTGCAGGTTTATGGTATAGCTGTATTATCTGTGATGAGAGACGCGTTCCTGAATAACAACGTCCGCCCATCTGTGCCGTTTGTCCGGATCCACGGTACGAGTGATTTAGCCACACTCTCTGGATTCTGCTGCGGCCGTAAAACACACAGAAATATTGTGTGTGTATCGACCAACGCGGGTTATTGTCAGGGCCTGTTTCAATTACATGTGGAATCGTAAATTGAAAGCCAATAACGGTTGATGCCGTTTGTAGGCCGATGTTGACACAAGTGGGATTTACCGCAAACTTTTATATAACTGTTTACTGCATACTGGATAAGAAAGGAGACAAGTACATGCAAACTTCTGAGGTCCAGTAAGTAGAGAGGAAGGGTAGAGGTCCAGTAAGGAGAGAGGAAGGGTAGAGGTCCAGTAAAGAGAGAGGAAGGGTAGAGGTCCAGTAAGGAGAGAGGAAGGGTAGAGGTCCAGTAAGGAGAGAGGAAGGGTAGAGGTCCAGTAAGGAGAGAGGAAGGGTAGAGGTCCAGTAAGGAGAGAGGAAGGGTAGAGGTCCAGTAAGGAGAGAGGAAGGGTAGAGGTCCAGTAAGGAGAGAGGAAGGGTAGAGGTCCAGTAAGGAGAGAGGAAGGGTAGAGGTCCAGTAAGGAGAGAGGAAGGGTAGAGGTCCAGTAAGGAGAGAGGAAGGGTAGAGGTCCAGTAAGGAGAGAGGAAGGGTAGAGGTCCAGTAAGGAGAGAGGAAGGGTAGAGGTCCAGTAAGGAGAGAGGAAGGGTAGAGGTCCAGTAAGGAGAGAGGAAGGGTAGAGGTCCAGTAAGGAGAGAGGAAGGGTAGAGGTCCAGTAAAGAGAGAGGAAGGGTAGAGGTCCAGTAAAGAGAGAGGAAGGGTAGAGGTCCAGTAAAGAGAGAGGAAGGGTAGGGGTCCAGTAAGGAGAGAGGAAGGGTAGGGGTCCAGTAAGTAGAGAGGAAAGGGTGGAAAGGGTAGGGGTCCAGTAAGGAGAGAGGATGCATGGTCCAAACCAAGCAGATCAAGCGTGAATCCACTGGAGGAATTTTAACTTTAAAAAAAAATAGACTCTGCCTACATCTGCCAAAGGATAGGAAGCAGCGGCTACACTGCAAAAAGTAATGAAAGATAAGTCAAAATAATCCGTGCACATTATGACTGAGCCTTAAAACAATATTTTCCAACGGGACAAAGCAAAATGATCTTGTTTTTAAAATATACAATAAACGTCTCCATTGGAATGAGAAAATAAAGCAACAGTTCTTGAAATAAGACTAAATGGCTTCGTTCCGTTGGAGAATCGGAGTTTTAAACAGTCAGAATGCGTCAAATTAAGACAAAAAACACTTGATTCAAGCGATTATTACCTATTATTTTATCAGCTCTGGCAGTGCACTCCACCTCCGCTGCTGTGACCTAAAGCACTTTTGCATTTTATTTCAGTTAGTAACTTTTATGATGATGTATTTGTCTGTTTGTTTGGATGGATGTGTTTCTGCTGCTGGACTCTTGATTTTATTTCCAACAGGGGATCAATAAAGTATCTATATATCTATAAGTAAGCTCATTGAAGTGTATATCCAAAAGTAAAACAATAAAATCCCAAACTGGTATCTTTCCCAGTAATTATTATTATTATTATCATCACAGATTATTCATCCGTCCTCACTTCATAAACACAATGTGGACTTTATCTTTACTCGAGCCAACTTGGCCAAGCGTATTCCGAGCAGCTCACACAGATCTGAGGCCACGATAACCCATAACGCAGCCGTAGAAGAGCCATCGATCAGCCGTTAGCGTCAAAAGTTTTGCCCAGAAGAAAAATATACTTGTCACGTGTGCCGTAAATCCCAAGCTGCTTTTGTGAGAGAATAAGCTTTATGAGACAAATACGTGAATAATTGGTAGAAAGAAAAAAAGTGCCCTGCTGCTCCCCACGCTTAAATAATCCAGCCATATTTCATTCCAGACTCTGCTACGTGCACTCAAGGTTAGAGCTAAAGTTTGTACAGTCAGGAATTTATCGACTGTATCTGAGAAGTGCCGACTTCAACGCACTCACTGAGCAGACGAGAGATGGAAAAGTTGGTAGAAGCTTGAAAAGACCAGACAATGGTTTTAAAAATCCAGGCTCTTTGGCGCCACCATTTCTACGTCTTTGTTTTGCTAAAGTTAGAGATTTTATTCATTTTAAAAGTGTAGATTTATGGTTCACTTATCTTGCGCCGTGTCCTCCTGACTCCTACTGTTCTTTAACTGGGGATGCAACACTGACATTTCTCCACTGTGGAGTGAATAAAGGATCTATTAATCTTAATCTTAATTTGCAGATCATTCTTTGTATTTTTAGAAACACACTTCCCCTTAACACTCTCAGGGTCAATTACATTTGAACGACAGGAACAAGCATCATATGGGGAGTAAGATACAATCCTGACTTTTCTTTGGAGAAAAACCTTCACAGGAAATGCATTCTGGGATGTTGCAG